ATGCGGCTGTGTGGCGATCTAACTGTCTGTATTTGTCTGGTCAAACGTAATGCAGGCTGCCATCACTCTGAACTGAAGCACACTACTGGATATGAGTCATACAGTCAAATAAAGAATTAAACCAGGTTTAAGGTCTTAAACCAGTAATTAGAATTTTGAAGCCATATCCATTTTCCTGAAAGCCCTTTCCTCTGTTCTTCTAAACAGCCAGTTTCTGGAAAGTCTTTCTCCGTAGAGGCCCTCTGGCACGCAGGAAGTGAGGGATTTTACATTTCCAGCAGCAGACACAGGGATTAGTATGTAAATAGGCAACAAACTGAGTAGTTAGTATGACCAGCAATAGCCAGTCCGGCTGAACACACAAAGAAAAGAGTGCCACTGTCAAAAAGAGGTCACAACACGGAACACTTCACTTAAAAAGTGAAAATATGCATATATTACCACTTTAATGGCGGATAACACTTCTAAAGAGGTACCCACACAAATGCCTTTTTTGTAATGTGCTGTTATATTTTTTTATAGGGAATGGTTGATAATCATATCAGATATAGACATTCAGAGATCCTTCCCAACTACATACTTAAAGTCTAAATGTAATATCTGCTGTGTTTACACAGGCCTTAAAGGGGTAATGGATTGGACTAATAAAATCCAAGACAGCTATTGTTATATAGCGAAGCATTTTCAGCTCTTAGTGCTTAAACAGATTTAAAGTCAGTTGTTAGACCAATGGAAAAAAGGTATGTAAGCAGATTGGAATTGAGGGGATGCATTAAATTCAGTTCTCTGGTGCATTATTGCAGTGTGTTTAATTCAAGAGCAGGCTTATGCATTAGTTAGATAAGAGGTGCTGTTTTTCTTTAATCACTGTACTTGTGTGTGTAAGCCTGCAGGGAGATTTGCTCCAAGAGGACGCCTGTATCACAAGCACAAATGTGGTTAAAGGACTGAAGACCAGTGGAAGAGTGTCGGGGCCAAGTCAAGCTTATAGAACCACACTTTCAGCAAAACACTGATCCACCCATTTTATCACCTCACACTTGTGTGAACATGCAGATAAAAAATTATATTTCTAACTTCACACAATCTGTCTCAGAACTGGCTCAAGAGAATATTCAGGGTGTTTATTGTACTGTTTGCTTAGAATGCCACTACTAATTTCTCAGGGGGGAAAGTAAAATACAAATAATACAACTAGGTGAGTGTTGTAGAGGAGGCCATAGTAAAAGTAAATATGAGAGGCTTTCTTAAACATCCTTTTGAGACACAATAACTAAAAAACACAAAAGGCTGCCTGAATAGCTGAACAGTACTACTAGTGGTTTTAGTTTTACTGGCAATACTAGCAGGGCTAGAACACTGATGTCTGGGAAGCTGGGAGGGTTTAGCAACCTTTTAAATCTACAATTTAGAAACAAAAAGACACCAGTATTATATAGGAGTATACCTGATTCCAGTAAAAAAGACTTTTAAATTTAATTTAATTTAAATTTAGGGCAATAGATATATAAATCCAGTATTTCCTCAACAGAGTTGTCATCCTTGCAGTGTAAAGAAGGCTTTAGTACTAATCCATTCCACAGCATCTGAATATTACTGCTAGTAGTAATAGTAGTAGGAGTAGATGCTGTGGGATGACTGCCTTACTAAATACCAAAAAGGACCCTAAGCTGCCCTCTAGTGAACATTTGAATCACTGCACATCTACTATGGCATTTACCATCTGGATGGGTGTTCACCTAGTAACAAGGTTCACAAAGGTTTCTGTTGGTCTAGATGATGATTGTCAAAATGGTAAAAATGATTAGATGTTATTAATATGTATGCCAGTCTGTAGTCTAGAAGATTGTCATGTGATTTTAGTGCCACTGACCTTCCACACTGATTTGTTTTCATTATAGAATCAAATATTCTTGCTTTGTCATGTTGGTCTCTGACCTAATCCAGCCAGAAATGATAAGAATACAGAGGTTTTGAAAAATAATTGTATTTTAAAATGAAATATGTACACGCACTCTGCAGCGACAGATCAGATCGGGGAAGCAAACATGTTATCTCTGCACTCCTTCCCCCTTGCTTTTTATTCTCATTTGATTGATTTTTGATTGTTCTGTCCTCTTTTCTGATTCTCTTTTCTCCTCCACTGTCTGCCTTGGTTTAGTAACGGACAGCCCTGCCCCACCTCCTCCGCCTCCCCCAGAGGACATTGGCGTGTTTGAGGAGCCCTCTCCCCCTCCTCCTCCCCCACCTGTGGACTACGAGGAAGAGGAGGCCGCAGTCGTTCATTACAGTGATCCCTACTCTGACGGAGACCCCCACTGGGCCCCCAAGGCTTATTTAGAGAAAGGTTAGTGACAGGAAAAACCACTGGTGATCCGCTATTCATAGACTTAACGTTCGTTTTGTAATGATTTCTCTATTTGATGTTATTTTTCCCCCCAGTTGTGGCCATCTATGACTACGCCAAGGACAAGGAGGATGAGCTGTCCTTCATGGAAGGAGCCATCATCTACATAATCAAGAAAAACGATGACGGCTGGTTCGAAGGTGTCTGCAACGGCGTCACAGGACTCTTCCCAGGAAACTACGTCGAGTCGATCATGCACTATGCTGACTAAAAAAAACAAAACAAAAAAAACCCACCCAAAATGGCACTGCAGTTTTGAACAGAGGTAGAACCGTGAGGATGTACAGATGTATGCAGTCCATCGATTGCAGTTCATGCGGCTCCCATTACTAAATGAAGTGCCATGGTGAATTTACAAATGGTTTTATTTTGGGGGGGCTTGTGCTTGCACGGTCTTGTTGTTCTTAAAAAAAAAAAAGTATCGCACAAAGAAGGAGGATGCTGAAGTTTTGGAAGACCGGGGTCTGTTAGTTTACACTGTGGACGGAAGGGAGGAGATAAAGGCCTTTTTTGCTACCACTGTCACATCCGTGGTGGTCGGTTGTACTTTTCCAAACTTCAGCTGTCACATTTTGCCTCACAAGAAATTACATACAATCAGAATAGTTTAAAGAATGCCAAGTAGATCTAGATTTAGTGTTAATTTGTGTATGTGCAACCAACATTTCCAGTATTTCCAGTATGCAGTAGATCTAGAGAGGGAAGTATTACTACGATTTCATGGATTAATGAGGCAGAGCAGCATTGTTCTGATATAAACGCTGCACAGACGCTCCGACCCATTTCTTTGCACTGTAGGCCAGCAGACCAACGCTTCCCTCCTTTCAAAAAAACATCCATCTTACCTTATCAAAAAAAAAAAAAGGACACACATCAACAAGTGCATTAGGACACGACTGAATGTTCAATGCCGTCGATGTCCAAATCACAAGATGTTTGAGAGGGAACAAAAGCAACCTGGAGTTGTGTATTTACTATGCTCTGTGTCAGTGGGGATGCTGTTAAAAAGGGTGAACCGAGTGTATAGAATGCATTACAAAAAAAGAAAACAGTTTCTTCTTTCTGGTGAAATTTCTTTTCTGTTCTCTAACTTGTATATAAACTGTAACGTGAGAAGATGCCAGTACAGTACATTTGTCAGTTAGTGTGTTTCACCCGTAAGTTTCCATCAGCGTCAGTGAAAGTGATGCCAAGATTGGATGTTTTTACCTTTTGATTTGTTTATTTTTACTTAAATAATAATTTTATTCATCTCTCACAGTGCCATTTTAACTTGATCTGGGCAAAGTGGCCGTGTATAAACTTTTTCTTTGTCTTTGTTCAGTCACGACTATATCGTTTTGATCATTGTCACTATATTTGCCGATGCTGTCCAGCTACTGTAGCAGAGCTCTGAGGTGTTTCAGAGGAAGGACTAACACGTGTGTTTTCATGTTGTTTTCCGTTGTGTTGGAATATCTGCACTGACTAGTTATCAACAGCTATGATGACTTTGTGATTGCCGCCATTGCTTTGATTTTTTACACAGCAGTTGCTATCCAGAAGTATCAACTAACCTTTACACTTGTCTGTTCTTTCAGTGGTTGCTGGTGTGGTGCTTTACATTGGTGCTCAATACCCATAATCACCAACCCAAACAACCTCAAGACTAGACTGCTCTATATACTGTAGAAATGTAACAAGGGACTTTAGTTGTAGATGGTGAATATCCATCAGATCTGATTGTAATTGTTTTCTGTCACCTCTGCATTTTAGTGAATGTAGGCAACTCAGCAGTAATGTACTAAAGCTTGATTCAGTCTGCTGCTTACAGTATGGTTTTGTCTATCTACACACAGATACAGATAAGACAGATAAACGTCTGTGCTACATATGAATGACCCCTGCTAGCTGCAGTGAAGGAATGAAATCCAATCCACAGCTATTGTGGATTGGATTTCAGTGCTGATATGAAGACTTCTGATTTCTAACACGTTTAGCAAAACAAGATTCCTGCTCTTACGAAGTGATAGTTGGTGCAAGTAAAACCTGCTGTCAAATATCATTAAAGCTTATCTCCGAGTCTGTGTGTGTAACAAGCCACATAAGCAAACATATGTACTTTGTAAAAAAAAACGGGCATTGAACATGAACTTTTATTTTGAAATGGAGGCAGACTTCCTCATGTTGTGAGGCGAGTACGATCCATTTTCACAAAGACAGACTAGGGAAGACGGTGACTCAGTCAAATGAACAGTATTCATTCAGCCTCTGTGCATGAAAAGTATCTAAATGTCATTACAGTGAATGACCACTACATCCCATTCTTGATTGTATTTTTTCCATCATGAGGTAATTTTTTTGTGAGAAAACAACTTTTTCTACCTAATGTATTTCTAGCTTTGCATTCAACTTGTTTTTGTGTCAGAGACTGCTGAGGAAGGCTCGCTAGCAGTTTGTATGTAAAGGATTAATTTATACTTTTTTCATAGAGAAACCATGAGACAACCACTGACGTGCAGAACTTTTTAATGTTTACCACTTAACGTCTAGCATTTCAGGGCATCACAGGTCAAGGCGCCTTTCTTTGATGTGTGTTTTCTTAATGATGATAGGTGGGGTGGGGGAGGGATCAGTAACTTAAAATGTTCATGGGAACAGAACCCAATATTTGTCTTCTCCTCTCAGTTTGTACATAGGATGTGTCCATTGAAATTTATGTACAGTCTTTTTGTAATAAACAGCTCATTGAAACAACGAACAGAAATGTGTGGTTTGTGTGTTACGCTTGTTGCATACATTTTGTCCAAAACAAGATACAAATAAGTATCATTATACACCTGAGAATAAATAAAGGCTTTTAAAATATGTTCTCTTACACATCATATTATTGTGTGTGCATTGCTAAAACATCGTGTTATTGGCTCCAGGTTAGACATTTGTCCATGAATGTGCGCACAAAGGAGCCTAAATTGGCTAAATCCAGACTAGTTTAAGTAAAAGCTGATACACAGAAGGAGGCAAAGATGTGTCTCAAACTTGTGTGAGACCAGGAGGAAGAGGAGGGATGAAGTCAGGGGGCGGCTCTTGTGGATATTCTTCAACGTTGGATCTGTCTGTAAAGACAATGAAATGAGAATAACACCCAGAGATGATTTAGGGTTTAAATATGCAGTAGACAGGCCAACTCCTATTCAATGAATTCCTGCTTTCCAATAGTTCTCTCCGTTGCTGCTGTTCAAAAGCAGCATTATTCCGACCATAGATAATATGTTGTTATGTTTTAGGTCGAGTTCTATTTTGGAAAACTAAACATGTAATTGAACAAGATACAGACATTTTATAACTTATACACAACATAAACTCATTTAAGATTTTTATGAAAAATACCACAAATAGCATTGGCTATACTACACAACATCTTTGGAGGCCTGCTAGTGGCTGAGTCTCAGCTTGAGGGAGGGCATTATGAGTGGACATGATCATAGTCCTGCAGGAGTCACTGCAGTCGGCTCAAAAATCACACACAATGCTAAACTTTACTTTTAGTGTCTTTATGCAAAGCTTGTCTTACTTTACTTGACTTACTGAGACCGTTTCTGAGAGTTGTCTGATGTATGAGCCCTGTTTGGATGTATAGACTCACCTTTGTGTGCAGCAGACTGGAGAGTTTGAAAAGTGGAGACTCTCTTCATTGCTGCCTGGTAGTTCTTATACAAGACAGTCCCATACTGCACAGATAGAGGACACACACCTGTTTAACTCTGAGCCAGTGATGAAATGTCTATTTTTGTTATTTTGGTCCATGGAATTCACAAATATGAAGCTGAATTTAATTAGATTTCTAATTGTTGCTCACTGCTCACATCAAAGTGAGCTGCGTTACAGTGTTTAATCTGACCTTGGCTGCTCTGATGGAGTTGGCCCAAAGCATCAGTGTGTGTTCATCCTCACAGCACAGGAACTTGATGTAGTGTGACTCTTTCTGGATGCAGGGATGCTTTGAAAAGAGTACAGACAGAGAGAACTGTGACATTTAAATGGTCCCCCAATGATTTAGTATTTTACTTCCATGAACTTGGGCTGCTTGAGAGAGACATACTGAAAAAGAAATGGTCAGAAGTGATTCAGCAGAAGCTGAGATATCCTGACTTTTAATGCCTAGTATAGGACAAGCTCCAGAAACGCTGAATCCTACACTTCCCATAATGCAACTTAGTCTTTCAGTAGACCTAGCCTCCCTAGTAAATGCCCAAATCTTTCGAACTCCACATCCCAAGTGACGAGTAAACTGAACTTGTGTTTAAATACAAACAGTGTATCTCTGCTACCAGTATGTGTATTTGTAGTACACTTTAAAGCCAACAGAGGGCAGCGCATACCAAGCTGTTACTGCACTGCGGCCTATGAAGCATGAATAACACTGCTTTGATTAAAAAGGAACAAAAATGTGTTTTTCTCTGGTAAACAGCTGTCTCTTCATTAATTTAATTAAAAATTAAATTAATAAAACATTTAAAATCCTTGATGTGGCTATTATTGTTTTTATTAGACAAAAAGAAGCACAGTTATTCCAAACATAACACTACATGTAGTTGTTGTTCTGTTCTGGTTCTCACGGCAGATAAACCACTTGTGAAAGCAGGTCTGAAATACGCTCTACACTCTCAGGTCAAAATGGGCAAACCAATTGAGGTCTGATGGTTTTTTGTTCATCGCACTTCCCCTCAGCATGACTTAGCTGTGACAGCCAGCACCATTACTAATTAATACTGCAGTGCAGGAGCAAAGTCATTGCAGTGCTCTCGTCATATTCAACCTTCCTCTCAGATTATGCTCATGTTTTATGTAAAAAAATTCTAATGAAGGAAGGAAAGTACCTTACAGTCAGTGGATTCTCTGTTATTTAAAGGTCCAGTGCGTAGCATTTAAGAGGATCTATTGTCAGAAATAGAATATAATATTCTTAGGTATGTTTTCATTAGTGTATAATAATCACCTGAAAATAAGAATTTTATCTACAGACATGGCGGGTCACCTTCCATGGAGTCTGCCATGTTTCTACAGTAATCCAGAATGGACAAACCAAACACAGCATTTGACACTCCTGCCCTTGTGTAAGACCACCCACATCACTGATTCTTAGGATATTTAACAAGGAAAGAATTCAGCCTGCATTTTTCTCTCTTTTGTTAAACCAATGACACATATTCACAGGGTCTGCACAAATCCTGGTTTAACAGTCCACAGAAGAAACATGCCCCATCCACTCAGTGGGTACATTGCATAAACATGTTCTGTAATACCTTTACCTCTTTATCTTTAGTTGAGCTTACCTTGAGCAGGAAGCAGAAGTTGGTGGGAGCTCGGTATTTCTGTTTGTAGTCATTAGTGGTGTAGATGTTGACCTTTTCAAAACGGACAAAGCAGGCGAGATCACTGGAACTCTGCCGGATAGAGAAAAAAGCAAACAATCACACAAACAGGAGGAGATCTTATACTACGAAACATATTGCTGAACTCAGGTTTTGACTAACTTAGGCGTTCCTATATGATAAAAAGTCGTGCAGGTCTCAATGCAAACATATCGTGCACTAGAGTTCTTGGATGTTCTTGGATGAATAGTGGAAAATACATTGGCATCACAGGAAAATATGTTTGTGTTTGAATGTCATTAAGACATCAATTTTCTAGCATTTTTCATGTTAAAGCATTGCCAATCCAGAACAGTCTTACAGTCATATTTCAGAGGTAGCATAAATTAGAGTAGTCTAAATGCTGGCTGTTCATCATTTTCTCTTGATGCTCTGGTTGTTGTTTTTTTTAGCATGTTGTGTGGAAGAAATACAGTTTCTGAGTTGCACTGTATGGTAGGTATTAAAAACACTTCAAAGAAAACAATTCAATGTGAGGCCATTTGTGTTTTTTTTTATATATATTCAAAGAAAGTCAACAATCAAGCTTCAGAGAGAAGATTTTGTTTTTCTCTCCAATGCATTTTAACATTCCTTCCATTTATGATTTTAAGCAGAAACACAACATGTTCACACATTAAACCACACTGACGCTGTTGTTAAATGGGAACTACAAAGTGTCGTTTCCTGTAAGCGGAGCTGACCCACAGAGGAGAACTGTTGTTTTCTCATTTTCTTCTCTTTTGTGCTTCAATTTCTTACTATTTCTCCATGATCACAACTCTATTTTTCTCTCTTCTAGAGAAAATAGTAGAACTATGATCATCTGTCATGACTGTAGCGTTTGTGTCTATGTAAGTCTTGTTACTGTAGTTAAGCGTATAGGTCCATTTCAGACTGCTGTAGGACATCAGTCATGCTTTGTTTCTGTCTGATTTTGGCCATTTTTCTTTCCCCTGCCTAATGAACTATACTTTCCAGATCTTCCTCTGCTTTGTCCATGTGTCCTTGGATGATTCCTGCAGCTCTCTTATGTTTGCGATTTGCACATCTGCCTCGCACAGTTTCCCCTCCATCTACTTCGCCCTCTTAGATGATTTTAGCCTGCAAAGGCCATGTTTTTCTGCTCGGCCTCAGTGACAGAATGACATGTTTCTCTTTAACAGCGGTGAGGCCTCAATTCACACTGTCCATCTTAATTTCTCCCACTCTTCCTCTTGCCTTTCCGCCGCTGCTATGCTTGAGTGCTCAGATGTAAGACATCAGACTTCACATCAGGAAAAAAATTTCTTGTTTTTATGTTTAAAGAATGCTGCCATGAAGAATATTTGTCAGCATTGCAAATGTGTAGATATGTACATCTTTAAAACAATAGTTTGCAGTTTGAGAAATATGCTTATTTGTTTATACTGCATTAATATTCGTCAGGCCAATATGATGAGACTGGAAACAGGAGGAATCATCTAGCTGTCTAAATATAAAAAGACAAATACACCTACTAATATTATACATGTTAAAAATAAAGGTAAATTAACAGGTTGTGGTTTTATGGGGAAGGAAACCACAACTTGACATTCTAACGCTTACATTTCTATAAACAAAACAATGTAAGGTGTTAATGAATGAACTTTAGAGGTGCTAGGTGGAGTTATTTTTACCTTTGCACAGAGCCAGGCTAACTAGGTCTAGGTAGGTAGTACGCAAAAGGTTTTTGCCAAGTGTGAGTGTTTAAATTTAGGATGTAAACACCTTACAACTACTAAGAACAGTAAGGCATTGAGCTGGATGTAAAAAGAAAAGTGTTTTCCCTTTGTGTATGGTGCCAAAACCACCTTATGAAACATAACAATAACTAGTGTTTACCAGTTTCACTGTCATGACAACAGCCCACCAGAATTTTCTCCAGGCTATGTGTGGGAGGTGGTTTCACCCACACAGGTTCCTAAATGTAATCTCTCGCCTACCTGTTGTCTCTAGAGCATCAATACATTGGTCAACAGTGCACCATAGACATGCTGGCACTTGAGATGAAATATGATGTAGAATGTTTTCATTGTTCAAAAACGTATTTAATTTGCCAAACCTTTGTCTTTCCTTTGGGTACATAGTAGATGCCCGAGGCCCTGAGCATGAAGTAGCGAGGTTTCCAAATCTTTTTCCCATCTTCCTTTAGATACAGCGTGCCCTCAAGATCAGGAACTATCAGAGTAGAACCTCCAAAATGTTCCTGCAGGGTTAGAGGACACAGATTACACACAGAAACTTGACATATGGTTCCAGTAATATGGTATGGTGTGAGCATGGTCCAGTAACTGACCTTTAGTAAGAGTTGTTTGGCTTGCTCGTTAATCCCTCTCAAACTTGCTTTCTTCTTTTTCCACATGTAAAATAACTTCAGGGTGAGAAATTATGTGTTAAACTATGTAATCAAACTTTGGTGAGAAGAACATGGGTGCACAGTTACTCGCTCATACTCACCTGAGGGTCTGTGAAAATCACATACTTCTGAGGTCTTGACATAAAGTAGATTTTGTTTTCACTGTGGCGAGTCCACGCAGACAGCGGCTCCACTAGATATTCGTGGTCCTCAAATCCTCTTTCTGAAATGATGTGAAAGGGTGTATCAAGCTTCAGTCCTGAAACGTGTGCAACAGAGTCCCTGTGGAGGAGTTTACTTGCACATGCTATATGTGCTTGCCTGCATATGATCAGAGTGCATGTGTGCGTGCTCCTCTCACCGATCTGCAGCTCAGGGTTGGTCTCACATAGGCTCCAGTCTATGCTGCAGTCACAGTGTGTCTTCTCAAACAGCGTGTCCAAAACCTCTCGGACCGTCTGTCTCTCATCCACCATCAGTGTCTTGGAGCTGCCGTCACTCATCAGCACCTTCACAATCAACTAGGAGAGGCAGTAAGTTCAGTTACCTTAACTGTGCAGCTGCAGGGTGAAGAAAGATGGAAAAAACCTGCTGACTTTACCTTCCTCACTTTGGCTTCTTTCAGCTTATCCAGAGCCAATTTAATTTTCTCTGCCTTTGTCTGAGGTTCCATCTAGAAGCATAAAATGAGGACAATTATCATTTTGTCATGAAATTACAACTTGATTTTTATGATCAGTGACTACATTACCGCCTGCAGCACTCCAGAGGTTTTAGCAGTGTTTGATGGTGGAGGAAGGGCAGTTGCTGGCTCAGATTCCTGAGTCACGGCTGATGCTGCGATTTGATTATCCGTAGCGCTGTTGGTCTTTTTAGTTGATTTTGATCCAAGGTCGGCCACCAGAGCATCCAGGTCATGGTCCTCCAGTTCATTAAGAGACTCTGTAAGAAGATAAGGGCAGTAGTGGCGTAGAAAAGCATCCTTGTAAAGGTCACAGGTTAAATCCCTGGACTGGCAGGACAAATTTGTTTGGGCAAAATGAAATAGCTGCACTTATTGCTGCCTAATAAACCCTTGAGCCAGTCCATCAGAGGCAAACAGATCTGACTATGGGTGTTTGGGGAAGTTCAAAGTGAAACTCTGCAGGAAAAAAAAAAAGACTAAAATTATGTTCACCCTATCATTACAAAGGCACAACTCATACAGGAGACGTGTGAGGAAATAAAAAATATTTTTCAAATGTTGTGCTTAAAAACCCAATTCTATTAATTGAACATTTCATGGCAAAAAATACTTCCACAACCATCCACTTACCCCTCCCAAATGGATTATGTAATTATTATTATATGATATTATTAAACCTGGTTTCTCAAGGTTGGCGTGACCTTCTGGCACAGGATAAAACACTCCCCATCTCCAAACAGAAACCTTATCTCTTGAAAGACTGCCTCATGTCTCCCCCCACTTGCATCCTTACTTTCAGGGCAGTGTGACTCTCGGTTGTGTTACATTTCTGTAACATCTGGAAATTGAAGCTTTATGTGCCATTCTTGTTTCGGATGAGCACATCCTCATCTGAATGAGCACTTACCATTTAGGTCTGTGAAGCCAATGGAGAAGGTGGTCTCTCCCTGTGAGACAGGATCCACATCTGGTGTGTCCACTGCAGTCGTTAAACTCTGCAATGAGGTAATATGATGGTAAATTAACAACATTTCACACCACTGGGGTCCTCCTGTCTTGCCCCGCCCATAAATGACAGTTGTATATTATGATATTGTGAAAAATGAAATATAATTTAATTTAATGTTTTAAAATGCTTCTTAAACAGAAGTCATGTCTTTGACAGAAGTTTGTAGTTACAGATAACACTTGAAATCAAAGAGCGGCACAAAAATCTAAATGTATGTGTATGTGCCCTTGAACTGCTCCGAACTGTTGTTTAATTTTGTCACACAAGCCTGTTATTTATCAGGTACTTTGTTTCCCTGCACTTTATCATGCTCTGTTTTCATGCTGTACCCATAATAGAGAACACATTGCACTCAGCTTACTGTACACATAGACAATAAATCATACTTCAGTTTGTTAAGAAAATCTAATTTGTAAAAACGGTGATGTTGCAGTCTGTTCTTTTTATGGGATAAGCTGTATACATCCAGATTGTGTCCCTATTAACGAATTTGAATATCACAAAGAAAAGGGCTGACATCCAAACTGCAATATTTTAATCATTAACAGAAGTCTCCACTGGCTCAATCATATTCTGTAAACAAGCTGGGCCGACTGCCACCCTGTACACAAAATGCCTGCCAGCTTGCAGCTCAACCCTGATGACTGTGTCTGTAAACACATGTTGTCATGCTGGGGCTGCAGCTTAAATGACACCTCCGAGCTCCTAAAGTCAGGGATAAAAAAAATAAAAATAAAACCTCCTTTCTGTCTTCTGGCTCCAAGGCAGAGAATGGACCTAATCAAGGCAATAAGTGGAATTACTTTAAATCCTTTTGTTTCTCAGACTCTGAGAGGATCATTGCTTTAATCAAAATGCCTTTCTTGTTAACTCTGGTAATAGTCTGTGGAGTGGTGTTTGTCACTGTGATGGCTTTCCAAGAGGACGCATGCCAAAGTGACATATAGAGCCTTTTTCTGGTATGTCTGACGTAATGTTTAGGACAGATCCCATTCTCGGGGCTGCACTCATTTAGCTTACATACAGAAATTTGAAATGGACAATAATGAATTCCCCCTCGGGCTGAGGTTGCATCAGTTAGTGTGTAATGTTTTTCTTGGCGAGCCGCAGTTATATGATGAGCAGCTTATGTGTGCTTAAGGGAATATGCAGCGATTGCCCACGGTCCAAACCAGATGCGATGACTTCATATCTCAGCGTCACCTTACATTTTTCTGTCTGATGCTCAGTTTCAAAACAAAGACCGCCATGTGTAATCAGATAATGTTCAGATTAGCGAGGTAAACATCAAGCGATTTGTCTGTTCACTCCTTTTAACTTGTTCCTGCTTCAAAAGCACTGATGGGAACATTCGGCTAGAGTGTAAGAGTCTCAGCTCATCTGGTCATGTTTTGAGAAAGAATGCGACCAAAGATGTTTGATATCACACTGTTGTTTCTCACTATTCTGGACGAAATTTACTAGTGCATAATGACATATGTTGTCAAGTGTATTTTTAGTCATGTTAGCAACGTGGCTCTAAGCACAGCAATGGCGGTCAGTTGGTCCACCACTTTGGTGCAGACTGAAATATCTAAACAGTTACTGGACGGATTGCCATGAAATTTTGTCCAGACATTCATTGTTCTCAGAGGATGAATCCTAATGACTTTGGTGATCCCCTGACTAGTGTCCGTGACGTCACCCATAGGTTTCTAGGAGCTGTTGTGAAGCTTGGTGTGGTTTGCTCTGGCCATCGCCATCTTGGCAGTCCTGACTCTGCCAGCTCCCGGCTAATCCAAAAATGGGCAAAGACGTGGAGCTGAGGTGGGTTGAATGTGGCCTGGTAACTGAAAAGAGCTGTCTGTGATGGCACCCACCTGTCACTCAAAGCAGCCACACCCTTACGTATGCATAACTTCAAGCCTTGATATAATTTAAACAAGTGATTTGTAGACAAATTCACTCTCTGTACAGATGTCACAAATTGGGAAATTAGCTATGGAGACCAAAACCGTTTTTTGTACCAGGCAGTAAACATCAACAAACGTTTATTTCTGCTGTAAATTTGGGCATTTTAATATTGGGCTTTATAGAGATGAACTCACTTTTGGAGCCAGCCTCAAGTGGTCATTCGAGGAACTGCAGGTTTTGGCACTTCTGCTCTGTCTTAATTTGTCAACCACTAAGGTTGCTGCTTGGTACAGATACTCATATCCTCATCAGGATATGTTTTTATTTTGGTGATTGTTTTACTTTTCATAGCACCATCGTCAGGTCAAAATTATCATCTGTGCAATACTTTGATTAATGACCAAATACCTACAAAACTAACAACATTCCCATCAGCCTTATCTGTACTTTATGTTTATTGTTAATTGGCAAATGTTAGCATTTAGCCAACAGGCTCAAGTACAATGTGGAATCTGTTCAACATTATACCCGCTAAAAATGTCAGTATTGTCATTGTGAGGATGTTAGCATGCTGACGTTAGCATTTAGCTCAGAGCACCATTATACAACTCACCTGAGAGAGATGATCCATCTCTCCAAGCAGGTGACTGAACATGGCGTCTATGTCGTCCATCTGAGAATGGAAGAACAAAACATTTTAGTAAAGTAGATTATAAAAGAGACTACAGCAGTAGCATCAGGAACAGAAAAACTTCAGATAATTTCAGTTCAGTTTAATCTAAACCACTTCTTGAATAGTTTTTACATGTAGCGACCAGAAAATAAACTCTATTGAAAGGCCTGCGTGGACTCCACTGGACATTTTTGTGGTATGGAGATACAAACAGTCTTTGCATGCACATATACACAGTTTGAATATGTCTGTCATGGCTGTAAAAATAGATAAACAGTATGCAGTGTGCTTAACCACTCAACAGGAAAAACAAAACAGAAATGCTATCTCTATTTCTAAACAAGTCACAAGAATTGCAATGTAATGTCATTGCCGTGACAAAGCAATGTGTGTGGCAGGTCTTTGTTGTCATACGAGTTACTTTTATTACCGTCCAGCAAACAAATGAGCCTCATCTTCAATAAACTGTGGAGGTGGTTGCACAGTACAGAGGTAAGTTAACATAACTCAGTGATAGCAAACCTACCTCCCGCACAGGCTTTAAAGCCTCTTCTGCGTTATTTGGGTCCACATTCCACTCACAGACAATTTAGAAATAATTTCAGATATAAACAATTTAACTACAACTTTAAAACTGATTGCCTGCTTATTCCTGTATTTCATTTAGCTGAAAGCCACAATGTGAGGAGGTGGCTGCAGTGTGACAGTTCCCATGGCCATACCTTAATATAAAGACTCCTCACTTTATGGGTGATAGCTTAAGCCAAAGTACATCACATTCTTTGCATTAATAAGCGATAATTTCAGAAAAATTGAGATAAAAAATAAACTTTGTGAAACTCAGCGTCTGGGTTTGTTCATATGGCGGCACCTTGCCAGCTGTAGAGCCAAAAATGCATCTTGCATGTGGAGCGGCTTAAAGAGCAAACTGAAGAATGAGCTGTCTGCTTCTTGCCAACTTTTTGAGAATGTTGCTTTGTGTGGTTATCATAAACAATAGATATTAATATACTGTAAACCCAGAGTAGAATGCATAGAAACTAAAAACAGTACATATAGAGGAAAGGTGGTGTTGGTGGTAAGATTTAAATACAGCAAGTATTTTTGGTTGTCATCTGCTTCTTGTCTGCACGTTAACTTATCACTTCTCTTCATGTACAGACAAGATGGGCAGTCCTACAACAAGCAGAATACGTGGAAGCAAACATGAACAACTGTCTAAACTAATAACAAAATATACACAACAGCCTGCAAAGCCTTTATGAACTATCCATCCCTCATAATATGCTATTTGTTTGCAATGTTGAACACATGATTTCTGTACTTTTTCTGCATATATTTTCACACACATATCTATAGAACATTTTTTGCATCAATTATAGTTTATGAAATCACATTTTGTGCCTTGTTTGAATTCTTTTTTATATTGCATTAAGTTGTTGTGTTTGAAACATTAATTCTGTAATTCATTAACGCCGTTCCACTTCACATCTCTATTTAGTCTGCCTTCTGCTCACTGGATATTGAGAAAGGCTCCAATCCCATGTGACCCTAAATACACCTATATCTGTATTCACACAGTCAGTTGTATGTGGGTTTCGTTCCGTGGAGCCAAATCCTCATTTCCTAACTTATTTTTTGGCTACTTGGGGGCGGCAAAAACAAGCTATAAACACAACACTGACATAACAGCACCTTTTAACTTGATATGGTGAAGATGTTAGCAAAAAGCTGTTAATTTACATGCCCAGCAGACATGAGGTACACTTGCTAAGACAATTTCCCAACTAAGACTGCTCCCATCTTTTCTTTATTTACCTCTTCAACCAGAGCTGGATCACGCTGTGTTATAGCTGGATCATCTGAGAAAGAGTGAATACATTCTCAGAAGTAAAAATCAGAGTGAGTCTAAATATGTGACAAGCACAGCAGACATCTGTTTGGCTTTGTTTAACTTCACGCTGATATATTTTATACATTAAAGCTGCAGCTCGAGGTATGCAAAGTGCACATTCTGCCTTGTATATGGTATCACATAAGTGGTGTTTGAGGCATACATAAATTGTCGCTCTTTTTTGCTCTCACTTGTTGCTCTTCACACACACACACACAAATAAACACACCTATACATACATACATACACACACATGCAGCCTAATGTGCATATACACTAACAGGAATACATACAGTATACAGTCCTGCCTGTGCTATTCAGTCTCATTCTGTGTTTATGCTGAACAGTAAACAGACCATCCATTAAACTGTAATGAGGTAAAAGAGGAACAGTGGAGAGGATGGTAATGGACTTAGTATTGTTTCCATATGAAAGTGAAATCTTGGGATCAAGAAAGTGAACTTCACCTTTTTGGCCTGTGAGGACTTCTACTGCCTCACATATGTGAAAGTCAGTCCTAACTTTGTCTCTGTAACTTCTTTCCCATATAAAAGACACATATACACACAGGTGTGTATCTATTTTCAATATTAATTACTGGTACTTGCATGTCCTCAACAAAGCATTACAAAACCACATGTGTTTATGAATTTCATGCTCTCATCAGGCATGTCAGATTGTTGCTGCCGACTCCCACTGTGGTCTCACACATCAACAGAACGAAGAAACGCCAGAAGACAGACAGGCAGGCTAAGAGGTGGACGAGCCAAAGTCTGAGTACCAAAAGCGATTTATTGAGACTTATATGCATGAAGGGAGTCAGAAAGCATTGCCCACTGACAGTAAACCAACATGTTTTTTCTTCTTGTGGTTGAGAGCTTCTTACTGTTTTCTAATTAGTTGCACAACCATCCTTTGGCTGCTCTGAGAGGACATGTGTTTGTCCTAAACAAAGCTGATGTGGCGGCTGAATTATTTAACTCTTCAAGGGACTTTTATAAATAAATCTAGAACTATTATGTATGTATAAATATATGTTTTATATATATAATAGTTCTAAATTTTACATTAGCCTATTTTGTTATATTGATTTACAGTTGCCATAATACACATCTATCACTCTTGGAAAAAAAAAAAACATTCACTGTCATATAAAATGTGTCCTTACCTTTTCTGTCTCTTTCACTCGTGGAAGCATCATAAAGTGTGTAAATGCTAAGAAGCTCATGGGTCAGTCTATAAGTAACCACTTGTACACGTAATGCTGCCTGCACTGCCTCTGCATACATTAGCTGCACTTCCTGTATAATCAGGAAGTACTTTTAAATTCTTTTCTGGTAAAGCAGAGTGAGGTTGACTTTTCTAACCGTGCTCATATCTGCGGTGTTTTGCAGCTTATGACCACAACATACTTCATTTCTCACAATCAGCGACACACACCTACATATATGTAATATTGATTGACATCACCTCTCTTACTCTTCTGTTAGTTTTGTTGCACCTGTCAGGAGAGGTATATTATTTAATATCAGAGGTTTGCTCCAACTTTTAAATTGAGGCTTAAAACTTTTCTCTTTGCTTTTTAAAGAAAATAATTTAGAACAATTTATTCCTATCTTGCATTTTATTTTAACCACAATTTATTTCATATTCTCTTGTTTATTCTCTTTTAAATGAAGCTTATTTGAATTTTATATCTATTAAATCATATTGGGTATATAATATATGTGTCTTTTTACTTAGTTTTGTGCTTCTTATATATATTGGATTAATGTATTTTTATGTCTAATGTAAAGCACTTTGCATTGAAATGTTGATGAAAGTGTTTCACATATGAAAACCAAACTTGCTTTAAGCTCTAATCAGTCAGCATAACTGAAAACACCTGTGAGCTTCCAGGTCCCTTAAATACACGGGTCACCTGAGGTAATGCAGCATATAACTACTATAAGTAATGACTTAAAGGGTTTGATGAATGTAACAAGATTACGCCAACATATGCCTGGCTTTTCTGGTAGTGAAATGAATCTCAAGTCAATGGAAAGTGCAGGTAAAGGCCTCTTATGGTGTAGGTTTTAAACCTATAACTCTAGTTAATTGGTTGATATAATATACAGGTGTAATAGCAATTGAGCAAGCAGCTTATACCCTCCAGCAAAATGTTATTGGACAAAATGAAATGTTGGCAAACACGAAGACATATAATCAACAAAATGAGAGAGCTGCTGTAATATACACTCATTGGCAAGTTTATTCCCAAAACGTATACAACTAAAGCAGTGTAATAGTGACAGTAATGGTCCTGCAATTAATCCTGCGTTCATGAAGGTTATAATGTTTGAATCTGTTGAAACATAGAGAGATGTTTATTACACATTATGATCATTTGGAATCTGCAGTTTGTGTTGCTGTTTTGAAATTTTTTATATATTTATATGTTGGGCTCTGTGTTCTAGTGCCACTTATTGTCTAAAATCAAAGCAATATATTTTCAGGTATAAAGAAATAATTAAATACAATTAGGATTTAAAAAAAGTAGCCTTTTGAAAATACATAAGAAATGTAATATTTATACTTGAATATGTATATGTAAAATAGGGGCATAGGTAAAGTCTGCTTAGACAAGAGTGTAATCAGTTTTTCACATGACATTGAAATAATATTCTACTTACATGAAAATGGGGGGAAATGTCCTTATAGCACAGTGGCCAGATAGAGCAAGAAATATCACCACTATAAATAGTGTAGACATTAAAAGTACCATAGTGTGAACAGAGTTGAACTTCTCTGTCTTATAGTCATAGTTGATGTCAGTAGTTACACTTAGAATCATGTGTGGTCTCACTTTAGCCTCAGCGAGTAAATTAGTAACTATGTCTATGTCTATGTAAGTGCGACCCTGCTATCACCTGCTGTGCATGCATGTGTGTTCACGATACAGTCTCAGCCCTTCAACAGTCCTTTTAGAAAATTTCCTACTTAATATATTCATCATGTGATAAATATTTCTGAATGATTCATAACAAACTACCGTAGAAGGTGGAGGATTTATGTACTTCCATTTTTTTTGTAGTTCCATTTTTCCATGAAAATAAAAGGGTGAAGTGTTTCTAATGTGGGTAAAAGATTTTAATCAAAGCCATGTGAGGTCAAGGAAGGGAAATGAGAGTGGCAATAAAGTGTAATAAAGTTTACATTTTACAGGCAGACATTTTAGAGACAGGTTTGGCTCCAAGTTTACTATATCACAGAGCTGAGTCCTACCACTGCACCCTAATCCAGTACTACAGAAGAGATCAAAGCTTTGATGCCATATAAACCAGAGATTTTAATTCTGACAGGGCTTGTTAAAAACCCACAGGGCTGATCCTGTCATCAAAATGAATGGCAAAAGAAAAGGAACAAAGTTAGAAAGAAATAGCTATTTCCCCTGTGAATAATATAGTTACATGTGAAAAACTCTATAAACTGAAACTCCACTGGACCATTTGGAGCCTGGCATGAAGTTCTGGTAACTGTGCAAACTGCTTAGAAATGACCCACTGGAGTGTGTGAATAAAAATAACATTAGAATTCTCCAAATATCTACCACATGCACAGCTTCAATAGGAATGGAGTGACTCGGCACAGTGGTATGTCCGGGAAAGCTACGGGTTAATTTAAGACTAGGAGCCAAGCCTGTTGCCAATTAAGAGCAGTGAGCGCCACATGTGGGCTAGACGTAGCTATCTCCAGAAGGGGCAAAGGGGGCAGAAACCGCGGTGCGCGCAATGGAGACAAGCTGAATGTGCAATCACTTGCCAGTTACATCTATGGACACTTACTGATTTGAGAGATTGTTTGTTAAGAGATGGTCAAACAGGATCTACTGGGCTGAAGGATTGATGCGCAAAAAGGACCATTCTACCGTGGCACGTTAACATTTTTACCTTTCAGCATTGCAACATGGCACGTATCCCTACCATAGTTTTGCTCTGTGTAACATCTATGCTGAGCGGCGCAGAATGCGTATCTGAGACCTGCCGGGGGACGCGCTGCTTCACTGGACAGGACTGGAGGAGACCGTGCGTCGGAGCGCACTGCCAAGGGCGCACGGAGGCAGTAGCGTCCCCACGGCAGTTTCAACACGCTGCACAATCCAGGCAAAGACAAGTCTACCCGAGTTACCAACAGGATGCTCATTTTAATCATCACCAAGCCCAGAGCGCGCCGTTAGCACCGTACACCATTATCCAACCTCACCAGGGAGGCTTTGCGCAACACGCGGGCACAGATGGCACCAGGAGGACGAACCCCAGAACCATCACGGCGGAGGTGTTCCACCCTGGCTGCGCCGGTGGGACCTGTCCGACCACTGTCTCCCATCACCCGACGAGTGATGACAGTGTAGCACGGGAGTGCAAAGGGATTGGATGTAAACTTCCCCTCCGGATGCGCCAGAAGCCCAAGCCTTGCGTCGGAGACGGATGCGGTACGCATGGAGGAGACGAGAGAGGAAACTCCTCACCTGTTCACGTGACAGACAGAGCGGCCCAATTTCTGGATGAGCTTCCAGACTTTGGGTCTGAACGTGGTGCGTGGATACAGTTGACATGTGACATGAAACCAGGTCAGTATCAGTCTAATAGAATTTAAACCGCAGCCGTCTCAGTGGTGAAATGATACGCACTTAAATTGTTATATAATAGTTGTCTTTGCCACAGGAACCAATGAGGTTCCTTCAGAGGACGCTCTTGTGCTGCAGCTGCAGCTGTCTAAGAGCCAAGAGAAGCTGGTTGAAGCCCTCAGGGGCCAGCAGGATGAGGTCAGGGAGCTGCAGAGGCTCCTCAGTGAGCAGCAGGGGACGATGGTCAACCAGCAGAGAGAAATACTGGAGCAACAGAGGAGGATGTATGAACAGATGGAACAGGTAAGACGGCCCTGATTACTCATGGTGATTGATAAATTGTTATTAGTTCATGGTTTTGTTAATGGTCCATGATTAGAGACACATTAAACATTTATTTAGATGAGGTGGATGGAAAACACCTGACCTGCAGAAGTTTTATTTTGATAATGCTGACCTCTGACCCCTGTGGAAGATTTGTTCCATATGGGGATCAGAGGAAGAAAATGTTGTGTAGAAGCTGAAATGAGGACAGTTAAGCACTAGCTGACTAACCAGTAGCTGCACAGAATAACCTTTTTGTAATTGAATTTGTGTATTTATATCATAAGTCATGATGATTATTTGTATTATCAAACTAAAAATGCTTGTACCTTTTCTGCTTTCAGGTTAAAGCCCAGTACAACGTACTGATGGACAGCATCAAACAAACGTCTTTCCAGAACCTCCAGGGGGGGCTAGACAGTCACATGGAAACCTTGAGTGGGCAGGTTAGAACCCACCAAGCACAGCAGGCTCTCTCTCTGCACAAGGTGGACATGGAGGCCCGCGTGATGGAGGTAAGCTGCAAGTTGAAACAAGAATCAGGCATGCAAGTGTGTTCAAAATATAAAAACAACAACCTGACAGTCAGTATTATGTTTCCATCTTCAGAGAACCAACTAGTTTGTAAGTAAAGGCAGAAGTCAACTAGCATATATTAAATGGACTGGTCAAGTAAATAAGACACCTGCTTAGCTACTCTACCCTGTCCTCTATATGATGTTGGGACCTGACTGTGAAGTTCAGGTAATTTCTGATCATCACACTGATGTGTTTGATGCCATCAGGTGGGTCGCTCCGTGTTGGCCTGTGGAAGCTGCGGTCCTGACGAGTACTGTGGCTTCAGCAGCGGTCATCCTCGCTGTGAGAAATGTACCATCTGTCCTGCCGGCTTCTTCCTGGTCGCCCAGTGTTCAGTCCACGCAGACAGAATCTGCCAGGTCAGCACTACTGTCTTTTAGAGTATGACAGTTGAACTCGTGGAAAGAAACAGGACTATGACAAAACTTTGGTTTTGGTAGCTGGTTGCTACTGTAACTGTGCCACTTGGTTTTGGGTAGGTAGAGTACAGTGGGTTTATCTGAGCTTTTTTAATGAAAACAGCTGCCTGTCACTGCCGAATACTCTGCTATGAGAGCAGTGAGACATGAACCAAAACAGAAAAGTTGCAGGACAGAAAACCAAAAAAATGAACTGAAAGATGCTATGAAGCTCTGTAGAGATGACTGAAACTACAGAGTTAGGAGACTTTTGGTGGGTTCCCCATAATGAGCAATCTGTTTCACATAGAAAGAAGCCATATTTTACACAAAGCCAAGTGTTAATTATAGCTGATTCAAAATGTATTCAAAGTGTTAATTTATTCATCATTACAGGACAGAGATGAATGCCTTGAAATAGCTGATCTGTGTGGAGATCAACAGAAATGTCTCAATACTCCAGGTAACAGAGAACCTTTGTCAATACTGTCTGCATTTGATTACACTCTTATTTATCTAAAACTGTACAATAACAAATCTTTCAACATTTCAACATTTCCCTCTCTTCCATTAAAATAAGTTTTGAACTAACTCAGCTCTTATCTCATCAGGTGGATTCAGGTGTCAGGGCATGACGGAGCGAGATGCGAACTCAGGAATGTGCAGCCATGGCTACTTCTACAACTTGGACATGGATGAGTGTCAGGCCTGTAATGAGTGTGATGGAGAGCCCGTGGCTTCACCTTGTACCTTCACCACAGACACCATCTGCTCTGGCCCTGCTGCTGGTGACAGCGCCCTCTCTCTTTCTTGGGCTGGAGATGTGAGCCTACCTGGTGCAAAAGGCCACGTCCTTGCTCACGCCTTCCCTAGTGTGCAGCTTCACATCCAGGGAAGAGGCGATGCAGGTCTGGTGTCCGTTGAGGATGGACGCCTGGTGCTCAGACAGCACGGTCTGGTCTGGCTGGATGAGAATCTCTCTGTGAGCCACGGCTGTCGTAGTTTCATTCAGGTGTGTCTGCGTATGAACAACACAGACGGCTCTGAAGGTCGTGACCTCAGTGGGGTTAGGGTCGAGCAGCAGGAGGGAAGGTCGCTACAGAGCGTGAGCATCAGCGGGGTAGCAGAGGTTGCCCCAGGTCACCTGATCTCCATCTTCGTCCGGAGTGCCAACCACCACTGTAACCAAAGCAGTGAAGGTCTGCAGCTGTACAACCCTTCAGTAGCTCCACTCAGTTTCTTCTGGCTCTCTCATGACACCGGGGCTGTTGCCATGACTGCACAGGCCATGGTGTCTGCACACTACCATACAAACTATCGCCCGGTCTTCCGTACCACCTCCACCTCTGATCCTTACGTAGTGGGGCTGACTCATGATGGTCGTGGGATCCGTTTTGCAGAAAGTGGCACCATCCGTTTTGTGTTTCAGCAGGCGTTGTACTCCATGGGCCAGGCGTGTGTAAGCGAGGGCTTTCAACTGTTGGTTTACCTCAACCATAATGGAACCGGTATGGAGCTGTGCCGTTCCTTTAAACCAGGGGTCCACTATCGAGACACATCCATTTCCTTGTCTGGAGCGGCTAAAGTTGGCCCTGGGGACACACTGGGCTTTGAGATTCTCTCTCCTGCTCAGTGCAACGTACGTTTCTTTGGTGACGAGACAGGAATCAGTACCCTCAGCTTGGTCTGGGTTCCTGCTGCTATCTCTTCCTCTATGTCTGCCACCGTGGCCCACACTGGCCTTCCCTCAGGAGCAGTTCGAAACAAGCCACTGTTCTTCCGCCAGACCAGCGCTCAGGTGTCCCAGATGGGACTGCTAGGGAAGGCACCCACAGATCAGAGACGAGATTTTGTCTTCAGGGAGAGTGGCACAGCCAGTGTGGCTCTTGATCTCAAACTTATTCACTCCTGCAACCTGGTCAAGGTGACTCTTCTAAGGCGAAGTGATCCAGAAGGGTCAGGAGGAGGTCGGGAGGCAGAAGGAGTGCGACCTGTCCCTCTGGCCCAGCAGGTGGGTGGTCAGATGCCTGAAGGTAGTCATTGGGCCAGTGTGAGCCTGCGGGCATCCTTCCAGGTTCATAACGGCACAGCGGTGTTCTTCACGTTGGACTGTGTACGTGGACGGGTCAACCAGATTAGCCACCAAACAGGAAGTGGAGTGTCAATCCTCTGGGTGGCAGCATAACATATAAAAGACAAAACTTTATGATGTTGTTTTTTATATGGTTTCCATTTCAGTAGACCACTTATATGATGGACTAGTTTCATTTGTTTGATTTTAAAGGACTGTTGTGTCTGAATTTTTTTTTTTCTTGCCTGGAGTTAGATAAGGAGATTGATACCATTCTCATATCTGCCTGTTAAATATGCTTATCTTAGGGTAAAGACTGGAAACAGCAGGAAAAGGCTAGCCTAGCTTTGTCCAAATGTAACAAAAATACACCTGTTAGCACCTGTAAAGCTCACAAAATAGTACTTCCTGGATGTAACTCCAGTCCTATGAGTATGTGCATAGCCCTCTACCTATTGTCGCCCATTGTCTGTGGGCACCCGAAGCTCTAAAATTTAATGTCTTTACTGTAGAGAGACAAAACAAAAAAGGAGAGGGCTTGGAGAAAAGTGATAACAAGAGGACTAAATGGTTCTGTAAAGTCCCCAGTTAGTGCTCCCATTAGCTGTTAATGGAAATATTTTCAAGTTGCAAAATAATAAAAAAAATACTCCAGTTGCGTCAGACGAACATTCACTTTGCGTTTGGTTTAAAAACATCATAAAAGCAAAAAGGTGTGGTTTTATGCCAGGTTAGCTGCTTCCCCTTGCTCCCTGCCTTGGTGCTAAGCTAAGCTAAGCTAATCGTCTCTCCTGGCTGTAGTTTCATATTTAACAGACATATATGACCAATGGCATTGATCTTCTCATTTATTCTAACTCTGAATGAGCAAATTTCCAAAACATTGAACTTTTCACTTTGCTGCTTGATTTTGTAGTGAGTAGCCTACAGCTAAACGCTCAAATATGGACTTTAATAAAATAAATGTAGAGTTATGCATCAACAACTGTATTTATATAATGCAAGTATTAGTACTGTGTAATGATTTTCACAGAAGTACAAATGATGGTTCTAAACAACTGTATTCACCTTCTAATACTGTCGAGTTTTCTGCTTTTTTATGTTCAGAAATTCCATGTGCTGTACTTTGTCTGTCTTTTATTTATGTAATTCAGTTACTCTGTTTGACGCCAAAGGACCTTCAGATGATTCCCACTGTGAATACAGCCTTTTCTGCTGTCACAAGAAGAAGTTCGCTGGTGCTGGTTTCATTCAGGAGTGTGTTTTTTAAGAGCATGTGTTTCCTGTTAGCTGCCATTTTCTAATGTGAATATCTAATGCATGCCTTGTTTAATGACCATATTGTTGTTGTTTAGGCCCTGTTGACATCACACTGTCCTGAAGAGACAGCATGCTATTTCAAATTTTAACACCTTAAGATGTAGTTATGCAAAATGTAATAAAGTGTATATTTGATGTTTTACATTAATTACAATAAAAAATACAATAGTTTTGCTGGTTTTTTGTTTTGCTGCTACCTATGTGTGAGGACTCCTGGTGTGACGGCCATTTAAAGAGACTAACTTTTGAATGGAGAAATAAAAATTTTCTCTCAAATAAATAAAACTTGAATTCTTAAGCATAAAACATACCCTAGCTCATTTTAAACACGGTACCGTCAGCCTAACCTGGTGTAGTAGCTAAATGTACGGTGGCTAATGTTAGCTCATGTTAGCAAACTTTTAGAGAGATATGGCTGTGTAGCTGACATTCCTTAATAAGTTGACTGCCTTTATGAGTCTTTTCTACTTGTGCTACTGTTACTGCTATTACATTTTAGCATTTAACATTATTAGCACGTTTTAGAACTAGCATTTAAAATGTATCAGCATACAGCTGCTAGTTGTGCTTTTAGTTGTAGGTAGTAAGTATCCACAGCTTGTCCACAATAACAGTAATATTTAGTAAACCTTCATATTTTTCTATTTATTTTCAGGTACATCAGGATTACAGTCACAACAATATCACGTAATGGGTAACAGATTATCGCAGTGTTTTTGTAATGGCAGGCATGCACTTGTTTTTTGTGCAGAGCATGTTTCATTCCTAATCTCCCTATTAGAGACCGATAATATTTCATGTACTAATCCTATACTGAGCTTTTCCCTATGTGCTGCAGTTAGAGACTGAACTGAATATGTTCGCTCTTTGCAGAAGCTGCCAGGTGTTTCCTATTACACATCAAAGAACAGAGGTCCTTTATCATGAATTTAAACAGTTGAAATTATATTAGCTGGGTAGTTAACCTCCTAATGGCCTTCCTACGCACGTCCACCGACAACCCTTCTCATTCTCAGAGAGCTGCTCTGCTTTGGCACAAGATCAAAAAGCATATTACGACCCTGGGCATATGTTCTATGAAAACCAGTAGACCAGTTGATGTTATTATTTCAGCCTTTGAAGTTGTGACCTTCAGGTTAGTGTGTGCTATAGATTATTCAATAAATCATGACTTTTAGGGGATTACTGCCATTAATATGCAGGTTTGTGTCTTGAAGGTGCTGGTATGGAGTCTCGGCGATCAAAAAGAGTGCCGACTCAGCCATTTCCCACTTCAGACACCTAATTCTCTCTAGTTCAAGGTTACCTGACCAGACTATGAATAAAGCTTTGACAGTGCAGTTTATGAACTATGGCTAAATCGTGTGCACAACCTTTTTCAGAAACTAGACAGAAGACCAAAGACAATAGCCAGACTTAAATTGACAAACAGAACAGAGAGAAAGCATATCATGAGACAAATTGAAACCACCTCCGGGCTGACGGATGCAGGCTGGGTGAGTTATAGGTCTGAGGATGATAAATGTTTAGGGAAAAAGGTCAGAGCCCTGCAGTATAGAGGGTGGAGCTCCGTCTGGCAGGACTAGTTGCCCTAACACATTAGCACTCTGGATAATAGAGTACAGATGGAGAGAAAGACAAGCATTTTTGTGTTGTTGTGTGTGATTAGGCAGTGCATGCATTTGGTTGTATGTATCTTTTAAAAAAAGATGTTACTGTTCGGTCCTACCTGACCCCTACCTACCTTATTATATGGCATTTAGAATTTGGTTTAGCCTCCAAAATAAAAAAGTAAATCGAATCGGGAAAAATCGAGTTGCACTAATAGTTATGTTATTTTTAGATAGTAGGGGGTGAAGGGGCAGGTCCAGATATGAATAACTATTTGGAATGTCTTGCTTTAAAAAAAAAAAAGAAACATAAAGTTCAACCCCTTCCCCACACTAATAATTTTCCAACAGTCCCTTATTTGTTTTTATCAAAAAATAGGATGATTTCCTTCCAAAAACTACAACATACTGAGACAAATGTTTCTCAAAAGGGACTCTCACATATCATGTGTTCAGTTCATACCAATGGAATCTAAACTCCCCAACTTCATCTCACATTCACAGACGTGTGGTGCACACAGCCTTCTCAGCCAGAGAGATAGACAGGTTGCTGGAGTTTGAGTGTAGTATGAGGTAGATGGTGGGGCTACTGGGCTACATGTGGTGCACAGACTGCAGATGTACAGTACAGGTAGCAGAAAACAGGTGTACTCCAAACTTTACCCGTGATACCGAAACAACCATAACATCAAGGCAACAGAGAGAGAAACGAAAGCTGTGGGAAAGAAACTAACAGTGGGAAAGAAAGTGAGAAATCGGCTGCTCCTGTGTCAGTGCATCTGGAAGCAGTTCTCACTTGTTTTGAACTTTTCTTCTCCTCTATCTCACCCAGAGGCGTGCCACAGTTTCTGTGCTTTGTAGTAAGTCAAAATATTTTGGGGTATTTACTATAAAAAAAGAACCTTTGTACAGCTTTGGATCATAGGCCACCAACAGAAACATTACATGAAATAGTAAATAACTAAATCTTTATATTTAACATCAGAGCTAAAGCTTGTTTATAAGTAATATCACAATGTTCGTTATACAGAATGTTAAAGTACATAATATGTTATACATGTTAGAATTTATTTATTATATGCTTGATTGATCAACTCTCATTTCATTTCTGCCTGAAATGCATTACCTACAATATTCCCAGTGGTGCAATACTGCCCTCTATAGGAGAAAAAATAATAAACCATGAATTGTTTTGGTGGAGTTAAAATTTATTATTACGAATCACACCACATTTGTATGCCATTACAACAGATTATCAATCACTACTTCATATAATTTAGTGTATTCATTTGCTATATGACAATACACCCTATATTAATTTATAGTACTGTAATCTTGGTTTTAAATACAATTAGTTAGGATACAATTACATACATGGATGCAGACAGTCAATTATCAGTGATTGTATTTCAGAGGTTACAGAGCAGAATGTATGTCTTTTTCATATTTTTTTATGATCATTTAATGATCTTAAATGCACAGTGATCTCAAAGTTTTACACAATGTGGGACTATAACTCTATTGGGTATTAGTAAATCTATTGCCTGACAACAGGAACACAAGCAACTGTCTAATAAAGTGTGTAACTGTGAGTTGTGATTAAAAACGAGACTACAAACCATCTAAGTTAAAAAATCCCACATAGCATTTAGGGATGTGACTACAAAAACCCAATAGTGTGTACTTTAAAGAGTTAAGGCTTTTGATATCAGGGTCATAACATAGTAGTCATGTATAATTAATCCTCTGGTGCATTCAGATATCAGAGATCAAACGTGAGAATTCGGCACTTAAGTGTTGAGTGTTGCAGCAAAAAGAAAATTGCATCACTACCATCTTATGAAAGGCATCTTTGAGGCAAATAGTAGTGTAGTTAATGGATGATGCTGACATGAAATGAATAACATGAAAAATAAAAGAGGCTATATAGTTTATGTGGAGCAGCAGCAACCTCTTAATGTTTACAGCTTTGGGATATGTTTTAAATGGAACTAGAGCTGAAATGCAAAAAGACTGTAGAGCTGCTGATTGTGCATAAAAGTGCCACAATGATGCCATTATGTTGGATAAATAAAAGGATAACACATATTCAACGTACCTCTGTTGTATATTAGGCTAAAGAAGTAAGATTTTTCCACTTAGTGTAATGTTCTTGGCAAAACTGTGTATTAAAAGGCTATGAATGTACGTTTATATTGTGTAAAACACTGTATAATATAATAATGAGTTGTCTTTTGGTCCATGCTGCAAAGAGAACTGACTGTCTCTAGGATGTGAGAGATGAAAAAAGACAGATAGAAAGACTTCCATAAAGTGAATGAGTGAAACTGGTAAAAAGGAGTATAAAGAGGAGGAAGAAGAAGGAGAAAGGATGAGTGGGTACAGAGGACAGACTGTGTCACTTTGGTTAAATGAGGCCTGTAGGAAGAAGGTAAGATGTTTTAATGCAGGATCTCAATGAGAAGGCGTTTGAAGTCCCCACCACATTCTGAATCCAGAGCATCTTTCAGGGTAACATCATATTTCTCCAGGTACATGTCCTTCACTGTCTCCAGGTCGATCTGTGGCGTAACAACAAAACAGTCAACACAAAATCTCTTTTCATTGCTTGTTTTTGTCTTTGAATTGGATGCTTATGGACCTAAATTACTTTTAGACCACATTTAAGACCAACATTGGGTTTGGGTGATCTGGAATCTTCATTAACACTCAGTATGATTAGATGTTTGGTAATGCCTTTACACACACAGACTTGCCTCAGAGCGGCCTACGATGATGCGAATGAGTGTGTCTTCATCTGTGCCTATTCCCTTCATGGCAGCATTAAGACGACGAGCAAAGTACAGCTGCGGGTTCTTAGCACACCTCACTATTAAACACACACACAAAGGCAGTGTTATTACAAGAACTTATACTTGATTTGATATTTCACAGCTTGTGAACAATCCTGTTACAGTGTAACCCACCTAGAGTAATGTAGCAGTCCTTCAGAGTTCCTGTTGCCTCAGAGTCAATGGTGTCCAAAATGTCTGTTCCTGAAAGCTGCAAGACAATAAGTTAAACATGTGAACCTATGATATCAACAATAAGGAGAGATCTTTTTTTTCACAGGAAGAGAGTGCAGTCCTTACCGACTCATAGACCTTAAAGGTGGCCTGAAGCTGCAGGTAGTTCCTGTGCGTCAGGATGAAGGTGAAGGTCGACTCATCCGTGCCAAATCTGCCTTCTCCTGCCTGGCAGGCACAAAAAGAGGAAATAACATTTGTATTTGTCTTAGATGTAGCAGATTCCTCTCGCTTAATTCCTATGCACTTGCTGAGAGGAACAAAAATTCTTATTTTCATACTTTCTATTATCATTCCTGTTAGTAATAATACGATTGTAGTCAAGTTAATTGCTGAGATTGATGTTATTGATGTATTGCTAGTAGTATAAACTCTTGTAATATGTAATAAACCATAATTAACTTAAAAAGGGTATTATCATTCTGATATAAAGAGGCATATATAACTGGCTCTGAAACCTCATTATGATGTTAAGCAAGACTAGCCATGCTAGCGGCTCTGTGAAGCTGTACCTAGACACAGCGGTGCTTTGAGCTTTGAACGTCAACCTGCTAACATTTGTTTGCTAACAGTAGGATTCATTCTGTGAGGACCATGAATGTCACAGCAATCCATCCAACAGTTGTAGAGCTATTTCTGGACCAAAGCGTTGGACATCTGTCATCCTTGAGTGACTCAGGGTCATTCTTATTTGAGGAGTTTAACAATAAAACCTATATTTGTATAGTATTACTGTAAAACTCCAAATATGAAGCTTCGCACCTAAGCTGGGAATTTCCACAAAGATCCCACAGATCCTGTGTTGTAATAAAAGTAACAGTGCTCTGATTTGATAAAAAAAAACTGTACTTGTGAGATTTGCCATCATCCATCTAAATCTAGGATCACATTACCTCGCAAACACTGGTGTTATTTAAAGGGCAAACTATGAATAAGGCCTCTAATTCAAACTATGCAGCACAGAGAATGTACCTCAAACAAAGATGTGGCATCCTGTTCGGCTAAATCTTCATCCACATCATAGCCCTCGTCTCTGCTGGCCTGTGGAAAAAGAGGGATATATGAGAAGAGAAGGATGCAGGAGATATAGAGGGGTGAAAAGCCGAGGAGAGGTTTAAGAGGATGGATAAGGGAGGTGATGCATGTAGAGAGAGTGAGGGAAAAGATTTAGTGAGTGGAGGTGAAGGTGGATTACGAAAATAATCTCAGGCATTTAATGGGATAACAATCATCTGCCACACATTAATGGGAAACATTTGAAGGCCACTGCAGCTCTTTGGTCGCTGTAGAACATGAGTCACAGTGTTGTTTGTCTTTTCTTTCTGGGGGAAGGAACAGAAAGGGGAAGCCAAAAAGGGTGGGAGCGCTGAAAAAGACTGAAAACTGCATAGAGGCCGAAGCTTGCCAGACAATGATGTGATGTGTGACCAATGTCTCAGTGGGCGAATCACAGCATGGAGAACAATTCTGCCAGCCATTATCAAAGAAAGACAAGTACTATTCTCCTGCTCTTTGTGGCTTCCATCCAGATTCAAGACATCTACCTAAATATCCAATTGTGCTTGAGCTTTGGTTATCCCCTTGTAAACTACCAATGTTAAAAGTATCTTTTACAGCTAAATTAAGCCAGAATAATAAGTGTGTACCTGCAGCAGTGCCATCAGCAGGTTCCTCACATCTCCACTGGTGTCATCCTCAATGTCTGCCTCTAAGTCACGCTCATTCACTGTAAAGTAAGATCCAGAAATACTCAACACTTAAGTAGTGTCTTACCAAACTGTTCACACCATCAACAGATGTACAATATCTGTGTTCCTTCCAGTACAGTGCTACAAGATAATAAGTGAAGTGTAATAAGTGAAATGTGATGCAGAGGAGGATGAAATCAGACTGTGTTTGTGGCCAGTGAAAGTATGGCTCATTACACAGTGATTCACTCCACAACATTATGACAAATGCAAAACGTAGTACTTATCTGTTTAATGTGCTGGTTAAAGGACCACACTTTCCAGGATGAAATGAACATCAAATTGGTATCTGTGAATGCATGACTCAGCATGGAAGAAAACTCACCCTGGGCATAAGCTTCCTTGTAGCTCAAGATGTCCTGTTAGAAGTAAGAGGAAGATGACATTTAGCCAGCTTTATGGAGCATTTTTCAGCTTAATATTTTGGTTTAACAGCTCACAACTTTACTGTTTTGATTCATTCTCAATGCTCTCATATTTCAACTGGCAGCTGACAATCCCACTGTACACTACCATGGTATCGGTATGCCGCTGCAGTGCTTGTTACATGAATAAATGAGTAACAAGAATAACAACAAGAATAAAGCCATTAGTTAGAACTTATTAAATTATTGCCCCTTATTAAAGTTCTGCTAGCTCCTTCCCTCTCAGCAAATTTAAAAAAAATACATCAGAGACCTGCAAGGGGCTTTAGGGGGCGTGGCCTTGACACAGACTGCAGTGATTGACAGACTGACCGCAGCAGCGTAGCAGAAAGCGAGCTGTTGAGCAGCTTTTACAGTCATTTGAAACACTTTCACGGTCGTTTCTGTGGGGTACCTGTGTTGTAGTTGAGCTAACAGTTTAGAGAGGCTAACTCTGTTGGGGGGGCTGTCAGTGCAAGGATTGAGGTAAACATTGCAGTTGGGTGGTGTTTCTACAGCCGTCTAAAGCCCAAGTTTCAGAATGGAAAAAAAATAGAAAAATGACTAAATAGAGGGTTAGCAAAAACTAGCATAAACTCCTGTGAATGACTTCACAGACTCCCACTCAAAGTGGAGGCTGGAGGAGGTGGGCTGATTAGAGGGTGTTAACACTGTTTTTATAGAGAAATGTTCTGACGTAGAGTCGCACCAAACGGTCACCTCGATCTCAGCATTGGGCTTACGAGATCCTGGGTGATTTCAAACAGTAGAGGGCGTGGTAAGACATTTTTAACCCACAAAATGCAGATTTTCATAAATTTGGTAATAATGTCAGTTTTAACACCATCATTGATGTGTTTCATCAATATATAGTCACATAATTTAGTTTACAGCTCAAAAAACATGTTTTAGGGTGCAGTACCTCTTTAAGTATGCCTTACTGAACAGTGGTACACAAAATGGAGCCAATACCATAATCAGTTTGGTCTTTAAATAGAAAATCAACTGGCAGTGAGAACAGACTCTACAATAAATTGAGCATGTAACTCATAATGCCCAAAAGTTTAAAATAGTCAACCTGAAGTTAAGGAAAGGGTGAAAATAGAAACATGTTGCACAACAATAGTATCACATATTGACACACCTCATTGGTGGCTGTGCACAGGATCTCTACCAGCACCGCTTCATCTGTGCCCGCCCCCTTCATGGCCTTCCTCAGCTCCTTGGCGAAGTAAACACGAGGAGGGTCCAACATGGCCATGGTGGCCTTCTCAAAACTACCTGTCAGCTCCTTCTTCACAACCTCCTCCAACTCCTGAACAAAGAAAGAATTAACACGGTGCATGGTTGTCATCTGTGCAGGTGAGTGTGTGTAAGAGAAAGATGGAGACAGGCAGGTACTTACATCGTCGTACTTTTCGAAGTAGGCCTGTTTGATCTCCACACGCTGAGCGGCAGAACGATTGGCCAGGATTTGAATAATGGTCTCTTCGTCTGTCCCTGGAGAGCAATATACACATAAAGGGTTAACTTCAGAATCCCTTCAAATACAGTAAAAGTGCTTAACCATCATAGCAATTAACTAGACAACTAAAAGACATTTTAAAGACTGAAGGCAGTCTAGAAATCTTGTCACTATGGACAGGCCTTTTATTAAAATGGCTGCCAGGCTGACATTTTACTGGTAAAAATGTGGTAAAATGGCTTTTAAATGTTATATTCACAATACATTATAAATACATTAATTCATTCATTTATATTGTGCATTGAAGCTTGTCACTGTTAAACTAGCCTTTCATCTTAATGCATAATACACTTTTAATATGTTTTGTGGTGGACTTTAATTGACAGGACAGCTCGAGACAGACAGGAAAGGGGGAGAGAGGGAGAACTGATTACTGATTACATTGTTGTTGTCTGATTTAGGGAGATATTGTGACTGCACTGATAGTCTCCTTTCATTCTAATCAGATGACAACAGGTGCCTTTATCACATGCATAAAAGACAAAGAGGTTTCATGAGAGGATTAAATGAGAGGAACGAATGATACACAGTGACTTATAGAGGGACAAGCCAAACCTTGTGTACTGTACACTTACCTAAACCTTTACATGCTTTTCTGATAGCCTTGATATCAGCTGTGACATCAAAGTCCTCATATGGGACTATGGTAGGCTGGAGAATAAAACGTAAATATATACATCATTCATAAAATGTTAGCAAATACATAAAAACTACAAAATGATACACTCAAAATATACTTTTAGGGTATTATTGCAGATATACTGTACATTAAAAGCAGGTTGCAAAGTCTTACAAAGTAAAGCAGAACAAAGCTGATATTTTAAAAAATTTACTAGTGCAACACTACAATTATGATTCTCTCCGGTCAAACAGATTAAAGAGGGAAGTTCTGGAAAGGATTCATCACAGCACATTCAGGGCAGCTTGTCCCGCAGGAAAAGGGTGACGCCTGTGTGTGTTTGCTGAGTCATGGGGCAGCAGCAGCAGCAGCAGCAGTGTTCAGCAGTGTTCAGCAGCAGTATGCAGTCTCCTCTCCTCCTCGCCCACCCTCCGCTGAATACAATGCGGCCTTATTGATCAGCGTTTCTGAGACATTCCTCCCGGCTGCTGCTGCCTCCTCGGGCTGGCAGGGCACACTCCCTTTGCTTCAGTTAACTGCGCAAGTTCTGCTTCCCGGCACTCCGACTGTTCACAGTTTGCGCACAAAGTCTTGTTTTCATCTCCTAATGAAAATAATAAGCCTATAATAGTATGCCTATATTATGAAGTAGCCTACTCAGTGATACTTTAGTGACACTGTAGCCCTGTTATTTTATGACTTTGGCTTTTCATCCATCCGTTTTTTCATGTTTATCCTACTGTTTCACTGCAAACCCGAACTTCCAGCACTGTAACAGTGTCTGATTAGTGAACCCACCCATTGCAGTCATGCAGATTTGATGCACTGGTTAATAAGAGCTGATGTTGTTTTAGCTGCAGAAGTTGTAGAAAATCCACTTTTCTTACCTGTACGTTGCCCATGACAGTCCGGAGCGCTGTTTGTGGTCAGAAAGTGAGCAATGAAAGCTGTCTGTGTTGGTGATGTGCTGTGTTGTGCCGGTCTGATGTGTGATGCGTGTCAGGTCGGATCGGCTGTTCCTGCAGGGACGCAGCCCTGTCCGGTGCTGCAGGGATGACGTCACTGCCGCTCATTAGTTTAGCAGGATGTAGATGGGTGCTGGGGGTGGTGGTGGAGCTGGGAAGATAGGCTACAACAACTGCCTCAGTCAAGTAATCATCAACTAGTTGTTGGACTGTTTCTAATAATGGGCTTATGAATGATTTACTCAACTATTGTTCTTAATCACAATTTTGAGGTACTTGCAGATGCAAATATTACTTTTTACTATACTATTCCTTTTTACAGATATATTTAAAAATTTTAATTTAACATACACAATGAGCATCTTATAAAATACAATGCTTTACTATAATTTAAAGTAGCCTTTGTAAGTAAATAAAGTTATTACGTTAAAATGCTGCTTACACCTTAACTTAATCAGTAATCATAATCATCGTAATGATTATCTGTAAAAACTTAAAAGTAGTAAAAGTATGAAAGCAAGACTTGTAATGGAGTATCTCTCTGTTTCTTCCAACACTGCTTGTGCCTGCCTTCAACACAATGCATCCTTAAAATAATGCCCTACTAAATTCTGCACAAAGTTTTATATTGAATACATTCACAAAATTGTTCACTCCCACCCTTAGGTACAAGATCACTTTATGGGTCATTAGGATGACTGAAGTAGCATCCAGAACCTTCACTTTAGTAAAAGTTGTAATATTACAGTGTAAAAAATACTCCTTTATAAGTAAATGTCCTGCATTTAAAATGTTAGTTATTATGCATGGGAATGGTCCCAGGCTGATATAACATCTTACAGAGTTATTATTGCTGATGCATAAACATGTGAGAACCATTGTAACATTGTAGCTGGTCAAGGTGGAGCTAATGTGAACAACTTCAACAAGTGATGGGTAGTTAAATCTGTAACAATGTATCACATTTAATAAAATGATTTTATGTTGTGTTTTAAAGATCATAATCTGAAAAGAAAGCTTAACGAGTAACAACAGCTGAAGAATAAATGTAGTGGTGAAAAAAGTACAGTATTTCCCTTTCAAATCTAGCAGAGTAGAAGCATACAATAAAAATACTCTGGTTCTACCTCAAGTACAGTAATTGAGTTAATGTTACTTTACAGCAACCACTGTCTAGATATGAAGGGTCTCATTCTCCACATGGTGGCAGTGTTGTACAGAGTGCTAGAACACCCAATACCTGTTATAGTGAACTAAAATGAATTTGGTTGAATTGAGTGTGTGCAGGTGTTTGAAGGCTGAAAGAATACCAAATTTGTTGCTTTGTATTAAAAATAGATATTAAAGCCATTTTCCTATTGATGGGTAAATATGAAAGATTGCATTTTAAGCATATTGTTGCATATTGTGGGGTTTTATGGTATTTAATATTTTTGTATCAACTTGTATCAAATATGGAATTTTCTAAACATATAATTAAAAAAAGATGGTGATAATGTTCTGTTGATATCTATGACTAATCAATCGACTGTATAAGGAAGGGCTCAGGCAGGTTTTGGTTTTAGGTGATAAAAGATTTTGTGACAGACAGGTTGCAGGGGATAAATGGGTTATTACTGTAAACCTCAAACAAACAAACAATACATAATTAAGAAATGTGCAGTCCTTGAGCAAACTGGGGATTTATAGAAATATTTAATCCAGAATTGAGAACAGGTTATGTATTGTATGTACATGCGACACAATATGAATGTACAATATAAATACTCCCATGTGGATGCTACAACATTTTATAACTTTTTGGAGCAACACTACACAGTATAACAAGCATAAAATACATGTAGTGGGCAAGTTACAACATTCCATTTCAAACAGCCAAAAACCATCGGATAGAAAAAAACCTTGTGAAAGTTTGAGTGGTGGGTCATGTTCATTTATCAAGCTTTTCACTTTATTGATGCTCTTTTCTGAATGCTTGATGAGCAAAAAAGGACGTTTACACAGGAAGTTCTTCCCCAAAATGCTTGATAAATACATGACAACATCTGGCATCTATATTTGAAAATCCCATAACCCTAACCCTCTTTAAGTATTTCATAATATATGCAATGATTTTTTAATGCCTTCTGGTGAACGTTACTGTATCATAACCCCTGTTTTTTACTGTCATGCACACAGAACCATAATGAAGCTGCCATGTGTGACAGCATTGCATTAGGTGTCATAGGTGGGTGGCTGATCACAGGGCAGAAAGGTTGTCGTTGTTGGAGGTGATGCTGAAATTACTCATTTTCTGTTAGCGAGAAAGTGACAAAAAGAAAAGCTTTGGTCATGCATAGTGGTGGTTTTAGCGATTGAATATGTGCAAAGATTTGAAAGTTGCATTCAAGCAGATGTAAAATTGGTAACTCAGTGACAGAAAAAAATGCATTATTCACATCATCCACCCTAGTCAGGCTTGGTTTTGGTCCTTGAAAGACTACCGCACATTTTTTAGACACATGGAAATACAACAGCCTCTGAGAAGGGACATCCAGGGCAAGAATATAGAGTAAACAGTAAATAAATATCAGCAAAAGGGAGAGCCTCATGGATATTTTAATACTGCTGCTCAGCTGTAACTGCAAGCCATTTGAAATATGTGTGTACATTATTGATGCCGATGCACATCATTTCAAAAGCATCATGTGGTACATAAGGAGACAATTACCATAAGCAACAACATCAAAAGTTCCACTGTCATATTTGAGTACAAGTTAACCAATAAACATTTAGTTATTGGATGCTGATAGTTTGCCACATGCAATGGCTTTTTAGAAAAATACATATTGAGCACTTTTACTGAAACATACAGTTTTTCTCAATTTAAAATGAACCTGTACTACAATCCTTTGTTATTCCCACATTTCACTAATCAAACAGATCATATTTGTGCCATGAATTATGTATTCGGCCTACAGGTAAGACATCACTGCTGTGTCTGGGGCTTTGGTTCTGCTTCTCAGAGCTGATATCCCATTTTTCCTCAGGTCTTTTTTTCCTGCTGCTTGCTTGTTTTCATCATCTGATACAATAAGTCTCCACTGACTTACTGCGTAACGTGGAATATCATCAGCGTAACAGGAAACATTCATCAAAATTCAATAAGCTCATTAGGTGAGGCTTTTACTGTGTTTGTGACACATGATTGTCTGATCTGCTGGTAAATACAGGTATGACCTTGATGTACTCAGTGTGATAAAACATACATACAGTGTAACTCTGACAAATGTGCAAGCAAAAGTGCAGACTGAAAATTCATTTAAAGTGACTTTAAGGTTGCATTCATTGCAATGTAACAACAAGAAGTTTGCTATTTAGCAAATGGTAATGTTTGAATTGCATCAATGGACAGCAGAATAAATCTTTGTTTCCTTTCACTTTTCAGAAAAACAATTCTACATCTTTATCTTTTAGTTCCATTGCTTTGTCCTCTGTGTCTTTGAATACAAAAAATACAATCATCACACCAGTCATCATGCCCTCTCTTCGGAGTCTTGCTCCTGAAAGTCCCAGGGGCAAACATCAGCCATGACTGCAGGTTTGTAACTAGTACTCAAAGAGCTATCTTTCTTCTTCTCTGATGATTTTTTAGTCTGAGCAAAGCTGGTGTGTGAGGGCTCGGCCTCCCGGGAGAAAACCTCCGGCCTCCTGATCTCCATCACCTCTGGGTCTCTGGTAGAGCTCCTCCGCCGCTCAGAAACTGGCCCACTGCACTCCGACGACTGGCTAACACGTCTCCTCTCTGATGGCGGCTTGCTGGAGGAGCTCCGCCTTTCTCTGCTTTTCTCCCTCCCTTTGTCCTTCTCGGCTTTGTGGTTGGACGAGCAGGAGCCTTTCCGTTTCTTCTTGTGTGTGGTGGGGCTGTTGCAGGTCTTCTCTTGCTTAGGTGAAGGTGGGCTGGAGTAATCCCATGGGCAGATCTCTACCATCAGAGAGGGGGGCTGCAAAAGGCTCCCTGTGGACTTGGAGTGGTCTGAGTGGAGCCCTTTGGGTTTCCCATCAGTGGGAGTGACGCTTTTCTTACGCCTGATTCTGTCTGGGGAGATGGAATCTGAATCTCTTCCAAGCATTGGCTGCTCATCAAATTCCCAGGGACAGACGTCTGGCTTAAGAGGGAGAGGTGACCTGGGTGGCCGAGATTTCCGTGTTTCCCTTCCTTCCTCCCTTTCTCCTCCTTTATCTTTGGAGCGGCGTCTGTTGGAAGGGGACTGCACTGATTTCTGCCTCTGCTGGGAGCGGCTACCTTTGGTGATTCCAGAGCTGCTGCTGCTGCCTCTCCGGCCGGTGGTTGTTTCTCCAGGAGCAATGGAAACATGTTTCTGGGTCTTTGCTTCAGAGGGAGTCTGAGGCTCTTCCAACTCCCAGGGACAAACCTCGGACACGTCATAGAGGTTCCTACCAGTCTCGGAGCAAATGGATGGCTGGCTGCCACTTACCTGTAAAAATCAAGCAATAAAAATAGATCAATAAAAATAAAAAAAAATCAATTATTGTATAAATCAAACTATTGATAATTTTTTTAAATTATCAAATATTTTTTATTATTGAATTAACTGATTTATCGTTTAATCTATTATCTAAATGTCTGAAAATAGTGAAAAATTTCCAAAAGCTCAAGCTGATGTCTTTGCTTGATGGATTGCTTGTTTTGCGGTCCAAAAGCAAAAGTTATTCAGTAAAACAAATCTCAACTCGAGGTCCATTTGCTAACTTTTCCCAAGCGCTTTCAATTGCACTTGACATCTTTATCAGAGGATAGCGTTTGTCCAGTTGTCATTATGTGACCAATGTATGGAATTTGTCACATTGACATTGATAACACGTGGTAGTATATGGTGCAGAGATTATAATCCCTCTCTCTGTTCAAGGATGATTTTTAAACAATTTATAATTTCCTATTTTTAGCTACTGCTTGTGGTGTCATACATTGCTTTAGTCTTCCTCTCCAAGGAAATCCTCCTTTAGGGTGTACCCGCAGATATCTTAGGGTGTTAAACAGCTTGTGGTAAGTGCTGACTTTCTACAACTTAAAGCTCCTATGATCCATA